AGAGAGAGAGAGAGAGAGAGAGAGAGAGAGAGAGAGAGAGAGAGAGAGACTTGAATAGAATTTCAAGGTTCTGTTATTCCATCTTTTTTCCAATAAAGTAGCATTCCAGGAATCCTTGAATTGCTTAGTGGCTAAGACCCTGAGCTTGTCGATCAGAAAGGAGGGCAGTTGGGCGGTTCGAATCCCTAGTGCCGTGTAACGGAGTGAGCTCCCATGACTTATTCCAACTTCTGCCAACCTTGCGGTTTGTGAAAGCACGTAAAAAGTGCAAGTAAAAAAATATAGGGACCACTTTGATGGGAAGGTAACAACGTTCCGTGCACCTTTGGCGTTTAGTCATGCCGGCCACATGACCACGGAGACGTCCACTGGACAGCGCTGGCTGTTCAGCTTTGAGACGGAGATGAGCACCACCCCTCAGAGTCGGGAACGACTAGCACATATGTGCGAGGGGAACCTTTACCGAACTTAAAAGACTTGTAAATCCCACTGTAGATGGGATTGGCTTTGACAACAATACAACTGTCAGCATGTTAGCGGTCTGATAGCGTCATACTGCACTAGCAGTTTGGCATTGCATTTGTTGTTGGTTTATTTCCAAATAACAATCAAGTTCCTGATTAAAATATATAAAGCCTATATGGATTAGGGCCAAGAGTGCCTTTTCAAGATTGCTTCTCTCATCTGAGATGTGGAACAAAAGATGCAACAAAGAGAGGCCTCTGAAATGTGAGCAGTGCCCTCACTTTTGATGTTCATGGGCCTGCATTCGGAAACTGGGCAAGTTTGAAAAGATGTAGGTATCTGGAATGGGCACTGGTAGTAAATGATTATTACGGGTAGTCCTTAGCTTATGATCATAGTTGGGACCAGAATTTCCATTCTTAAGTAAAGCATGTGTTGAATGAGTTGTAGCCAATTTCACAACCTTTTATGCCACGGTTAAGTGAATCACTTGATCGTTAAGCAAATTTGGCTTTCCCCATTAACTTTATTTGTCAGAAGCTCACTGAAAAAAAAATCATGAATGGTGATCAGCTGTGAGTACCAGTTGTACGTCACCTTTTCAGTGCTGTTGTAACTTCAGTGGTGGTGTAACTTCAAACCATCACCAAACAAATGGTTCTAAGTTGAGAACTACCTAATTATCGGATTTAGGATGCATACATTCTAGAGGCAAGGTGGCGCAGTGGTGAGAGTGCAGTACTGCAGGCTACTTCTGCTGCCTGCATGCTGCCTGCAGTTTGGCAATTCAAATCTCACTGGCTCAAGGTTGACTCAGCCTTCCATCCTTCCGAGGTGGGTAAAATGAGGACCCAGATTGTTGGGGCCAATATGCTGACTTTGTAAACCAGTTAGAGAGGGCTGTAAAAACACTATGAAGCAGTATATCAGTCTAAGTGCTATTGCTATTTATTTTCTTTTTATTCTTTGGATAATGTGATTAAATTTGCTGGCTTTTGTAAACTGCTTGGTGGATTCAAATGCTTGGTGTAAAACTGACTGTCTTAAATAATTACTTAACAAACAACAGCATTTACACAACTTTCTATCTTCTTACCAGGGATGTCTGTGGTAGGTGAGGTCTCAGGAAAAAGTCAAAATGGCAGTCATGATTCATGGGATCAAAGTCTTGTCTCTTTTTAGTTGCAATCCTGTGATCAAAGCTCTATTCCTATTAAAAGGAATATCACAGGATTGCAACTATCCATTTTTATTTTTTGACTTCTCTTCTGTAAACCCTCCCAATTATTATCTTGTTTAACACAGAGAGAAGTAAGTGCCTTTTATCAGGACAACCTAGTCTACCCAAATATGGGATGGAACATACTCTACCTAATATGTAAGGAGCCTGAGTTCAAATCCCAGAAGGATATGGCTAGCTGATGAGAGCTAAATAGCTTGAAATAGAGATCTATAACAATAGCAATAGCAGTTAGACTTATATACCACTTTACAGTGCTTTACAGCCCTCTAAGTGGTTTACAGAGTCAGCATATTTCCCCCAACAATTTGGGTTCTCATTTTATCCACCTCGGAAAGATGGAAGGCTGAGTCAATCTTGAGCCTGGTGAGATTTGAACTGCCAAATTGCAGGCAGCCCACAGTCAGCAGAAGTAGCCTGCAGTACTGCACTCTAACCACTGCACCAATCTCCCTTGTACTAATCTCCCTTTATTCCTATGTCGGTAAATATAAATTCAACACAAAAATAGTTTGTCACGAAAGCGACTGCCTGCAAAGGCGAAAACAGAAGCAATATGCTCCGTCTCATATTTGGGTAGGCCATGCTGCCCTGATAAAAAACATTTAATCTCTCCCCTGGTATAGCTGACAAAGCAAGGAGAGCCTATGGCTTAGAGGTAAATACATCTACCTAATATGCAAGTACCCCTGGTTCAAATCCCAGAAGGGTATGACTAACTGATGAGAGCTAAATATGGTAGATAGATAGATGAAATAGATCTATAGTAGTCTCCCTTTATTTCTTTGTCTTTAATCTTTATCAACATAGAGGGAAATGGACCACAAGCATTTTATATAAAATTCATATTGATGTGCAGTACTAAAGAAGAATTATGTTGACATTCAAATCCAAGTCCAATTTTAAGCATGCTGTTTGTGCTTAGTCCTGTCATGGAGATTTAAGGCTTTGTTTTGTTTTGGGTTCCCCCCCCCCTCTTAGTTCCTCTTTCTCAATTTTTCGCTCTGTTTACCAGAAAGAAAGATTATCCTGAATTTAAAAGACTCTCCCTGAGAGCAGTTGTAGGCAGAAAAAAAAAATCCTTATTTTTTTTTACCCTATTCTCAGCAATTCTAAATTCACCCTCCTGTCTTCAAAGTTAATTACTTGTGAAAAAATATCAGTCTTCCTTTCATGTAAATCTCCAGCTATTTCAGATTGCTTTTTATCATGAGGCATTTCTCAGATTCATCTGCAAAGTAAAATCAATTACCGCTTTGTTAATTATCTCATCTTTTCATTATGGTTATCTTCATAAATCATTCTCCTGCTTAATCTTTTTCATATCCTATTTCCTCTGCCTTCCTCTCCACTTGCTGTCTTTCTATCACCCATGCAACATTTCAATTTTGTCAAAAGAGATATTGTTGTTTTAGTCTGGTTCTTCATAACAACAACTGTGATTGGTTGTTTGCTTGCAGTCATTTCATTACTTGACTAGGTAACATCATCTGTGCTACTGAATATGGGGTTTGTTCCCCATTTATATACAGTGATTTGTCCTGCTAGTGTTGATGGGGTTGTGGTTTTCTCCTTGGAAGTTCTTTGATTATGGTATTGTTATCTGCTTGATTATTTTTCTGGTGTTAAACCCTGCTTATCTGTGTTCTGTTTGCCAGAAAGGAAGTATTCTGGTCTTTTTGTTTCCTTCTTCGCTTTTGAATGGTGTGTAAATGTGGTTTATCTCTATATGCCTGTTGATGGCTAATTTGTCTATCAAGTTTCCAAACATTGCCTAGCATTTTTGAATTTAATGTGGAATACTTAGTTTCTCAATTGAAACTATGGTTAAGTCTGTCCATATCTTATGAGATTAAGAAGTTTGCATCATGCCTTCTGAATGGTAGTTGATATTCATGGATGTGCTTTGCTAGTCTTCTGCCTGTCTGTTTTAATAATGGATATTGCAATTCTTACACTGGCATGTTTGTGTTTCCTTTGTACATTGTGTTTCTGTGTTTCCTTTGCAGAAACAACTGGAAGATTACGTCGCAAATCTCTTAAAAATGCCCCTGTACAAGAATTATCATGGAACTGTAAGTAACTTTAAAATGATGTTTATTTTTGTCTGCCCAGTTAAAGTTATTCTATCATTATTCTATGATTGTTTGATAAAGAAAGATCAAATTAGTGACCTGAGTTATAATGGACAGCTTGACTTAAATATATATAAATGTCAACTTTACGAGGTTTTCAAAAGTGTTTGGGCTGCCAGATCATAAATATTTGGGGGAGGTTGGATTGGGTGAAAGAAGACATTTTGATTTTGTATCTAGAACAATATAAACCTAGCTACTGTAATTGCAACTTTTTGAGCAAGTCATGGTCAAAGAACAGTGCTAATTCAGCCAATCTGAACTTTATATGTAATGTTCTTTGTGATATCAAGATGTTATTGTCTGAATCCTGTGTTGTAAAGTACTAGTGTAATGGAGAAATTAGCTTCCATTTTTCTTATTTCCTATTGCACGGTTATCTTCTTCCTCTGTTTTCACTGCTCTTTTATAAAGGTGGCTATATTGCTCTGTTCAAAAAATGAAATTCCTCACATTTATTCCCACATTTTATTTTATGGTGTACTTTGCACAGTATAGCAAGCTAGACTAAAATGAAATTGGGTTCATTTGCAATTTAAAGGGGTACACTCTCATGGTTCCACCACAAAACCGCATTCGATTAAAGGGCGCTCGACGAAACCGCGTAGCTGACGTCATCACAGCGCGACAACAGCGCGGAGAAAAAAGCACGCTGTCAACGCTAAACCTAAAATTAACCCCTAAACCTAAACCTAACCCCCCTAAACCTAATCCTAAACCTAACCCTAAACCTAACCCTTAACCTAACCATAAACCTAACCCTAAACCTAACCCTTAAGCTAACCCTAAACGTAATCCTAAACCTAACCCTTACCT